CAAAATCTGACAAAAAAGTGAAGATAAAAAAGAATACGAAGTTCTTTAATGGTGAAGAAGTTTTGCGATAATACTATTTTTAGTAAATGTCATAAAATTGAAATTGTTTTGTTGTTTGACTACGAAACCTTTAAAATCTAATTTGTAACGAAAAAATTATGGCAAATATTTCGATAAAAGTTTAAATTTTATTGATTCCTTCTATCTTTCGTATTAATATGAATTCGTAAAGGTACGAAAAATACAATTATTAGGGAACGTAATAACATCCTGGTAATTAATTATAGAGCTTGCCGTTGCAGCTATGAGCTTGTATAGTATTGAGTGGGTAGATAGCGGTCTTCATTTGTTTGTTTATTTTGGTCGTCGTGGTATTACTGACGAATCTGTTCGTTCTCATGGCAACCGAAAGGGATGAAGCGAACGGTTGCATTTGACGTTAACAAACGGAAACAGTGTGTGAAAAAGGACACGTTGCGAGAATGCTGCAATCGGCTTGGAAATGACAGCAACAGATTCACCTAGAATTTGATTTGGTCCTTATATTTATTATGACGTCTTTATCATGCACAGACATTTACAATATTTTCAAGTACGATCTGGTACAGACAGGCTCTAAACTCCGAATAAGTCCTTTTGTAGAATAAGGTTTAATAAATCGTCCCGCTGTGTCGTTTATAATATGCTTTTTGTAAAAAAAATCGTTGCAAGAAAGTCATTTGAAGTGAAATGGTAATATATTTTGTCTTAATCAGCTTGTTCATTGACAACAGTAAAAATACTTAATGCAGAACGAAGTTAAAATTTAAATAATCTTGTTTTAAAAAAGGAACATTTAGCAGGAAGCCTTATGGTGATTCATCATTTACCATTTTTAGTAATTAATTTTCAGGGTAAAATAGCATTCTTCGATAATTTGAAAAATTAACTTTTTAACTTCATTTTTATATACAAAAAAAGAAAAATACATAAGTCAAAGTTAAATATCAACACACAGTTTTATTCCAGGTTGTAGCTCAACAGCTTGGATATACCTAGTGAATAAGCACCCCAATTTTGAAAATATGAAGTTTGAATTAACTACCGTATTTTATTAAATTCTTTTTCAATTGCGTGACCCGAATTCACCCTATAGAAAGATTAGGTCGATGCATAGTGATTAAATTATTATACTAATCAAATTAATGCATTTAGTATGCAATATAACTTATTAAAGTTATTGTCTTGATAGTTTTCTTTTAGGAATTGGATGATATAAATTAGTTTATTCTATAAATTTTTAGTAAATTGTTGATTTTACTAGACAAAGGCTAACATGTTTTTCTTGTAAAATCAGCTATTGTATTTGTAGGATTTGCAGTTTTAGTAGAGGTGTAAATAATATAGTGAAGATAGATTGCAGTGAAAGTCCCTTTTGAAAAAGGAAATATAAAATAATTATACGATGAAGATTTTCTTCTTTGTTTGGTAAAAATAAAAATTCCACTAGACTACGGCTCGTTAGCCTGGAAAATCTTCATCGTATAGACTCCGGCCGTGAAAGCCTACAAGAATGTAAAAAATATTTGTTCTCTTTTGAACGATACCCCACTAGCATCCTTGAGATACGAAAAAACCCTGAAAATAATTATTCTAGTGCTTATAAAATTCACCGTCCATATTCTCTGGGGGTGTTTTAAACAGTTCTTTTAAAATCGTTTACCCCCTTCCATTTGACCCTATTTCCCAGAATTATTAGTAATATGACCTCCTGTAACACTTATTCTTGCTTTTACGAGAAAAGATATGAAAATAAACTTGTGAGTATCCATTTGAGTTGCTCAAATAAAATGTTTTAATAGCACTGAATAACATTATACCAACTTGACCTCTGCGTTAAAAAAAGAAATGACAAAAAGTAGCACTAGGAACGACGTATTCCAATTCAGAGCTGACCAGACTTCACGTAAAAGGAATCACTAATCCTGCTTGTGACTCTGAAAGGGGTGAATACTTATTAAGTCGGGTTTTGCAGCGAATACCCTTATAAATAGAAATGAAATTTTTAACCCTCAGTTTGTACTAAAAATAATTCTTCAATAATTTCTGATGTTTTGCATGACTTTTGCGTTGTGAAAATTACAATTGTCTAGTAATCTATATGTCGAATTTTGCTTAAGTGCCTGGCGGTTAGTTATATGTATATTGAAGAGAAATATGTAGTCATGACTTAATATCGACTACTTTGGTTGGGTTACGATAGTATTGTGAAGAGAAATATATGTAATCATGACTTAATATCGATCCCTTCAGTTGGGTTACGACGTCATTTAGTTTATCGAATAACTATAGGCGGTGTGGTGAACGCTATCTGTGAACATTTGATACTAACTATGAATTCATTAATATTGATCAAAAATACCGACTTGTATACATGATGGGAACTTTCTTGGCCAATGATCTGCCGAAACGGAGATGTGGATCGCGGTTTCGATCTCTTTGGATCTTATCGGATTAATATACGCTTGCTCCATGCACCATTCTAATTTGATCAATGTTTTGCACAAATTTTTGCGTTTGTAGTAATCAATATGACTGTCCTGGTTGAACGGCTTTTATGGCGGTTGTCTAGCAAGTTGTTTGTGTGGATATGAATTGAAAACCGTTTTGAGTATTTTCAGGGTTGCATTTTTCAAGACATGGCTTTAGGTTTAGATCGAATTGTTCTGCCTTCGTACAGGCGACGTTACTTTGAGATATTGCGATATATAAGGACTTCGGAAGAAAATTGCATTTCCGGTATGTGTAATTTCAAAGGCTTCAGTAGTCTAACTTGAATCCCTAAAAATGGAATTGAATTCTGTCGCACATATTCTTAAAATTCAAACGTACTTGTAAGTTGCATCATTCATCAACTTCAATAAAGGAAAAGCTCGTCAGTTAACACGTAGGTATCTATATTATAAATATTTCTATGTACCTACTTGGATTATTCCGAGATTTGGGTGATTCATTTTTTATTTGCAAGAGACTGGCTGAACTCGCTTAATTTTATCAAAATTTTGGTTCAATAGTTTTTTCTCAATAACTCAAATAATTGTGCCGCCGCTCCCCGCTGTACTCCCTTATATGGCTGATTAGGTCTATGTCAACTTTTTGCAGAAATTGTTTGTTCATCAGAGTTTTTCTAGTTTATTCAAAGCCTGTTTTTTTATAATGTGGGTTGTTTTACAAATTTTGCACATTTTACTAATTGCACACTTCGAATTTTCCTGTAACTTTCGGTTTATAAGCCCCTTATTTTGGTACTTTTAAGTGATATGAAGAGATATGTGATTTATTTGAAATATTTGCATTTAAAAGGCAAATACAAAATAAATACCTATTTTTATCTTGCATTTAAATAGTTTTTTGAGAAAAGGTATTTTATTTAAAATATTTTTCCAAACTTATTTTCTATTTCTGAAATGCAAAATACATTTTTGCCCTTTGACAGTTTTGCTAGTATCACCGATCACCTATCACCGATCAACTGTTATATGAATAAAAGTTGCTCACATTAGTCGTTGAAGGTATTAGAAGCTTAAAAAGGGGACAAAGATGTATTTCATGAATGCCTTCTAATTCTTAACTGAAAAGAGCCCAAAAAATTCTGAATTCCAAGGAAATGAATAATCTAAGATATCGTTTTCCGGGTTCAGTGTCATGGTCCATGGAATTTTGAAGTTCCAAATGTAGCAAGGAACTACGAAATTCTATGAATTTCGACAAAACAAAATCGAATTGACATGTGCCAGCTATGCAAAACTGAAAACTACAAGATGCTGTGGTGTGCTAATAAATGCGTATAATCCAAAATCCTTAGAAAACGATTCGAGAAACTTATTACTTATTAGATGAACCCAAAGCTAAAGAAACTATGGATTCCACATTTTTCTTTTATTACAATGTGTAAAAGATGAGAAACAAAATGGGGTTGTAAAAAGTTATAAAATGATTGATCTTGTTTTTATATAAATAAAATTATTTGCAACCCTATTTTGGCTCTGATCGTTCACGGTAAACAAAGTATTTTGGCATCAGTGTCTTTTTTCCAATTAAAACCGATGACAAATGTAAATAAGGAAGCATATAGAAAAATTATTTGTTGCTTAACTGAAGAAACTATAACATAAAGATAGAAAAACTATATCTCCGCCAGTTCAACTAAATCTTTACAGCTGATGATATAATGCAAACATTAGTCTAGAAAAACTCCAATATTTAAAAAATGTTACTTAAGTGAATGTAGAAAATTAAATAGGTACTACAAAATTGTATTTATTTGAAAAAACGTATTTTGCATTTAGCTTTTAAAATAGAAAAGGAAAAACTATTTTGTATTTTACATTTGAAATAACAAATCAAAAAAGTATTTGCATTTTGTGTTTAAATACCTTTAAAAAACCATTTTGCACATCTCTCTGGCTTTATTACATCCTTTAATCATTATTACACATTAAGTCCATTATCACCTTACAATTTTGTAAATAATAATTTCACCTTCGCTTGGTTATTTTCGAATTTAATTATTCGCTTATCTACAAATTTTCCTGTATGAGATAGGGTCTGAAAATTTCATGCGGAAATTCCTTGGTGTTTCATTAAAACGACGCGTTAATAATGGCCGCGTTGAGTGGAATGCACATTTGCATTAATGACTGACGGTAACGATCGGAGCGTGAAAATGATCCTCGAACCAATGCGGGAAGCCCAATATTGAGATAGCGTTCGCATCATCTTCTCCTTAATGGATCCTTCTAAGCTATAACGCATCGATGACTGGCCAACTCATTTTCTGTTCTTCTGACCCTTCATCGAAATAACTGAGCGAACCGGTCGCAACGGGTCATATTTATACACAAAGATCTTATCTAACCGATTCCCTATTGATCAGAACGTTCGACACAATTATGGAACGATTACATCAACGGTATATAGTGATCCTCATAAAATTCATACATTTCGTGTAAATGACATACCTGGTAGAGTGTCAACGATGGCACTAGTTGTCTGCGGTAGTCGAAGATGAGTGTGCGTGCGGCCGCGCCGCAGAACGCGATTGCGGCCATGAACAGGGCCGCGTTGCACGTGTAGATCCAAAGACGATAGTAGCGCATTGCGCGACAGGGTGGAGGCCCCGTGCCCGGGCACGGCCCACGTACGGGCCGCCGCAGGGGCATGCGCCTACGCAGACCGCCGCCGCAGGCTGCCTCAGTGGAGCCCGCTGCGACAATGACCGCGCGGCCTGAGCCACCCACTCGACGCCATCTTGTGCCTCCATCCGCAGCCGTCGCTGCCGCCGTCCTCATCGCACTGCGGCCGCCGCAAGACCCCCATGCAGACCGTCGCACAGCAGCCGCAGCAGCGACGCACCACCAACGCAGCCACCGCACGCCGATCTCGACGGTTATCGCAATGGACAGATGGACACTTCGTTATGCGCTTTTTCGTCTGCTCCACTGAATTTACAATTTAGATTCCTGAAACAAAAAGACATAATTAAAATAATGATAAATAATCAGCATCTTTCAATTCGTTAAGGAAAATTGAAACGTTTTTTAATTTTTCTAACAAAAAGGGAATGTCTACATTACGAGAGAATGGTACAGTCTGCTGTTGCGCTCTTTTCGTCTGTTTTTCGTTTTCTTAATTTTTGTAAAATGTGTAAGTTCCGATTACTCTGGAATTCGATAGGGAGACCGGAATCCCTATTAGAGCTTAGACCTCACTCCCAAAAAGGTGGCATTTGATCAATGTTGTAATCAAAGGACTCTGCATAATCCATACAGCAATTGGAGTATGATGCTCTTTATGATATTTTGATCATGAGTTTTCATGGCCATGGTCACAAAATAAAAAGATTCTGAGCATTGTAGTAGGTTAAAGTAGCGTGTGATTTTCATTCTATCTAATGCATAACTGGTTGATATTCCATCTACAATTTCTTTGGCTACTCTAGATATGTAGAAATTTTCAGTACAAAAGTTATTGGAGCTAAAGGAGAGTACGAATGGTGTTCTCTAATTTCTCTATTTATAATTATCTTCATGGTCATTTTTAGGTCAAGTGCATTTTTGAAGATTACCAAGATCATAATAGAGGTCACTATTGCGTACTCCTTATTAGAGCCGATAACTTTCGGGTTTTAACATTTCCTTATATCCAGAGTACTTGAACATATAAAATCGATTGAATATGCTACCACTTATCTATTAGATAGAGTGGTAATGGTGCCCTATTTTAATCCATGGCTCAGAAACTTTATAACTTTTAAGCTCGAGAATTCCTGATCAGAAGGTCATAAAGCTTTTTATGCTCCAGTTTTAGCCAATTTGACCGAGGGCGATTTTCCATTAAAAAGGGTCGTATAGAGAAGGGTGTTCTTAGGTATGCTGTTGACTTTAGTGATTCTTAGATGATGTGCGATTCTGGGACTAGATATCAATTTTAAAGCATTTTATGGACACTTTCAAAAGAATGGTGATAGGTATTTTATTTCTACAATAAAAATTTTCAATAATTTGTTCTTGTTGTATGAGTACAAATAACAAACAATAGTTTCCGATGGAAGCAAAATGCTTCAAAACAAAATAATTTATATCTAATCTCAAGGACAGTTCGTGATCATTAAAATTGAATTATTACAATCTCATCATTTACCGTTAAATCTGAATCGACAGAATTTTCCTAATGAAGTTAATAAAATCTTATATTTTTCTTTAACGAATTTAGAAATCCCTTACATTGTCGTAATATCCAATCAGTTGGATCAACCTTTCAACTAACTGACTTTGATAAGTTCACTTCAAACAGCGGCGTTTATTTTCACGAACGATAAACAGGCTCACGGAAAATTTAATTCGCCCGAAATAAAATTTAAATTGCCCGGAAAATTTCGTTAATCGTCGCAAAACCTATTAGTGGTAAATTTTCATGGAGAATTTAATAAAGCAAGCATTCAGTCTTTTGTCTTGATTACATTGTTATTACATTCGACATCGGACCCACACGACCAGGTGATGAAATAATATACTACGTGCATATGACCTACAATCCCTTTGTTAAGCTTTGTCTAGATATAGTATAGTATATATAAAGTATTTTGCTACCATGATTAAAGAACAAATGATATTAGAAAGGTACCGGCTTATATACGATAGAATAACGTTATAAATCTTGAGTTTAATAAGTTTCACCAAAATTGATTCGGGATAAGTTAAAAGGATCCTTTTGCAGAAGAGTAGATACGATAAGTACGAAGTTATTAAGAAATTTATGTAAGTAGCAACTTTTTGCCCTTGTATGTAATGAGAAAGGTTGTGGGTGTATTAGCAATTTAATTGATTTAGCCCTTAACAAGCTCTCTATGGAGTGAATTTATACTTTTTAAAAGTATTTCGTGTTTATGTTCAGTGTACTTATTTTTAGTGGGCCAGCGGCAATAGTGAAAGGTGGGAGATATAACTAAATTGTGATACCTGGCGTTTAGTGTTTTAAAATTAGTAAAATGCATTTTGAAATATCTAATTGAGGGTTGTTATTTATATATACATGTTCTGTCAGGGAAGCGGGACAAACTTAAAATCAAAACGAATTGCTTCAATTTGTGTAGTGATTTTGGTGATATTGTAAATGTTTTTGAAAATTTATATGCGTTCATTTGTGTGCAAATTGAATAGAATACATATATCAGGTTGGACCTTAAGGATGTTTGGGAGGTATGTCAAAATGCTACGAGACAAATAAAAATTTGGAAGAACGTTCCTTATTCATTTCTTAAACTCCTGTAAAAATTATAAATCGATTCACTAAACCGTTAAAAAGATATTGAATTTTACACGTCATTTTATGGAGGTTCGTTGACCGAACAGATTAAATTTATTTTTATTAACACAAAAAAAGCTATCAGAAATTTCAAACTTTTATAATAAGTAACTTGAACTCTGGAGAATCACTTTAGCGTAAGGTTATTCAAATTCACTAAATGGTTATCGAGGAAAAAATGAAAAATTAGCTGAAAATCTCGTTTTTACTTGATAATATAATGATAATATTTATAATTGTCTGAAATAAATGCATTAATCACGAATTTCTAATTTTATGTACTCTTGTCTCCGATTGTACCTCCCAAACATCCTTAATATGATCTATGACTTTTTACTAGCTGTTCATGGAGTAACGAGATAAGTACACTTCGGTTTTCATGAGCCCTCATATTAAATTCTGAATAATGGATTTTTGACGCCAACTACATACCCTGTTATGTATTTACTAACGTTCAGATGTTTTTCACTTGGTAACCAGTTCATTGATTTTCTTCAGATGCCTTGACCGTTTGATTTTCCGTTTCATTTGTTAATTCAATTCTTGGAGTGTTTTTTCCGTGATTTTAAGGAGAGTGCTGTGATTGCATTTGTGGATAGGGAGGGATGACGAAAATGCCGAGTGGTGTAAAATGTGAACTTAAAACGATAAATCTGTGGAAACGAATGCGTTTTTCGTGTTCTTTGGGACGTTGGGGGGCGATTTCTGTGCGGAAACCGGCTCCGATGGGGAATTAGCTTAAAGCTCCTCGTGTCTATAAAGCAAACGCTGGAAGCAGATTCCGTATAACTGACGAAGCAAATGGCGAAGTCGAAAATACGTATAAATTCAGTTAATAGGGAAACGTTAAAGTTTTGACGGGCGATTTACCTAAAATGTAACATTTGTGAAATGAGTTCAACGAAAACGGGAACAAAAATTTCAATTTCGATTGAATTAGTTTGAAATGATTATGAGCTTGTGGATTTCTTTTAATACGAGAGGTTTACATTGTGGAAACAAGTATAGGTTTATCCGAAATTGCTGCTTTTAAATTGTCTCTTTGTTTGATTATTTATTTTTGAATGATCAGATTTTCTTGTGGAAATATAATAGAATAAATTTCTGAAGCCTTCCGGCAATGCAAGTAAACATAAGTCTTGGATTACTATGAATTCGATAACCTAACAATAATAAAGGTTATTTAAAGCTTTTGACAATGTTAAATGGGACAAGATGTTAAATATACTTAAAAATGTAGGGATGAATTACAAAGATAGAAGAGTGATATTTAGTTTGTATAAAGAGCAACAGGCAGGGAGTCAGGCAGGGATGCACACTTTCACCGCTACTTTTTAATCTATACATCGAAGACGCTATCAACATCATTAAAGACAGTACAACTGTAGGGATAGACGTGCAAGGACAAAAGATTAGTAGGGTAAGGTTGGGTAAATCGTACCATAATCTAAATCGTACCACCGTTACTTTTCATATTTAGGATGCATATTGTGCTATCTTGTGTTCAAACTTAAAACCTATTATTCAATACAAATTAATGTAGATGTCATGTTTTTTGCAATGACGGTTGTATTTACGAATATGGTGGATAATGAAAAAGGCAGTTTACTGGTGTAATATTTCCTTGTCGTATCTAAGGCTTTATTTAATACTAGGTAAGTACAACACGATGTATTTTAGTGTGCACTGATTTAATAGCAATTTATTGCCAACCACACACTAAAAGAAGATTAAAATATGCTGTACAAATGTTTTGTTCTAACTAAGAAAACAAAACGTAGAAGTCCGATAAATCGTACCGACAAACGTTGTTAAATCGTACCGGTACGATTTACCGGCCTAATACTTGTGTTTATGTGTTTTTATATTAAATTAGAATTGAAAACATTTCTTGCAGGGCCCAATGGTCTGTTATTTAATATTAAACTCATTAATACCGGTTGTCTTAAAAATAGCACATATCGCATTCGATTTATCAGACTGTTGTTGTACATAGGTATAATATAAAACTGTAGTGGCAAACAAAAGGAAGTACCATCATTTGCGTTCACTAAACAAAGTAGCCAACGAAAAAAACATGCATTACGGCCGGCTCACAGTATTGGACAAGGATTGGCACAACATCTTATAAAATTAGATGTTTCTGTGTTTAAAAGCTTCTCTGTTTTGGATAACACTTAACATATGTTCGTCGCCTGACATTTCAAGTTGCTGAAAAGATATATTCCACATACTTTCAACAGAGAAACAGGACTAGGTCGGAAAAATTGGTTTTACAATTTTATGAAACGGCATCCCTTTTTGTCTTTGAGACTACCAGAGAAAGTATCTATAGCTAGATCTATTCGAGATTCAATAAGCAAAGCGTCTCGACCAAAAACAATTCAAATAGAACTAAACAGTAAAGATTGGTATTGCCTAATATGCGAAAATACTGCTATTGAGGATATAGTGCAGTGCCAAAATTGCAAGCTGTGGGTCCATGAAAGCTGTGCAGGTTCTGAGAAATCTTTAAAAAAATATATTTATGTTAATTGCAAATAAATATTTAGTTTCTTCCATAAAACAAGTTTTAGGTACGATTTGGAGACATAGAGGTACGATTTACCGAATAAGTTTGCCAAATCGTACTGCTCAAAGGGTTTAAGTTTTATTA